CAGAGACACACACACACACACACACAGAGAGAGACAGACACACACGCACACACACAGAGAGACAGACACACACACACAGAGAGACATACACACACACAGAGAGACATACACACACACACACACACAGAGACACACACACACACAGAGAGAGACACACACACACACACACACAGACACACACACAGAGAGACACACACACACACAGAGACAGACACACACACAGAGACAGACACACACACACACACGTTACGGTCTGTTAAATGTAAAAAAAACTATTATATTGCTCTTTGTTTTAAAAAAGGTTATAAAAAAATGTCAATAATTATCGATACCAAACAATATGAAACATTATATCGTTGATAAATGTTTTAGCTATATTGCCCAGCCCTAATTAACAATACTAATTATTACAATTATTTATTATAAAGTAATTATTTATTCATATTTGTTAATATTTACAGATTCCTCACTATGGTATTTAGATGGTACTCCAGGGAATACCACGGTATTATAATGTCACGTGTCGTACCTTGCAGCCGGACACGTCGTTGTGACCCCAGTGACCTTCCTCACACTCCTCACACTTCAGGCCGAGTGTGTGCGGAGGACAGATACACTCGCCCGTGTCTGCGTTACAGTTCCCGTGTGTGTGTGCGCAGTCACATGCTAGAGGAGACAAGCCAGATTACATGAGCCAACACACACTAACCAGCATAAACTAGTGATGGCCGCTTTCGAATCACTGCTTCGTGAAGCTTCGAAGCTTTTGTGAATCATTAGTTTCGAAACAGTGATTCTGAGCACGTATCAAACTGCCAAAGTCACGTGATTTCAGCAAACGAGGATTCATTACGTCATAACTGTTTCGAAATGTCAATGGTTTGCATCATGAATCATGCGAGTTCATTGAGTGGCGAACCATTGAACCAGCGTCTATGGTTTTTACCTGATCTCAGATCAGTTTCATCAATTTGTAGACATTTGTGACCCTGGACCACAAAACCAGTCATAAGGGTCTGAATAGCTCGTCCATAAAATGCATTGCTGTTCTGTTGTAAGTGATCTTAAAGATTCCTAAATGCATCTACTTTCGGAAGGCCAAATAAAGTGCTTTTGCTTTCGCACTGAAACACACAGCGTCTCCCTGACATGCTGCTTCAACACTAACTGCAGTTACTGAAACCACGCCTTCTTTCTTTGCGTGCACATTTGGGCGCATTATGCTAATATTTCCACATAGTGAGGTAGATATGTGGGGCGTGTTAGAACGAGCCGTTTTAGGGGGGCGTGGCAGAGTCTTAACTTTGATAAAGAATATCTCTTTGGTTTTGAGACTTCAGGGATCTTATCTATGCACAATCAGCTTGTAACACTCCAAAGAGAAAGAACAACTTGAAATCGTGTCATATGACCCTTTTAAGACTGCTTTTGTGCTGCAGGGACACGTAGTTAATAGTCTCTTTCTGACCTCTATATACAAGCTCTCCATAAAACAAACAAAGTAAGCCCTGCAAATTAATATAAAATGTAAAAAAAAAACATATTATACAGACACTTCATATTTAATGGTAATTTACTATTTTTATTACATTTAATGTATTATACTTTCAATAAAACATTTGCAATGAGTTTTTAAAAGCTGTTTTTATGCATGTTTTGGTCTGAGTTTTTGTTGCATTTACACACTTTTGACGAGCAGGAGCCACCAGCGTGTGGTGTTTTCAGCGCTTCGAAAAAGTTAGTTTCTTCCATCACTAGCCTAAACTAGTCAGCTCTCATTGTGCATCAGTGCATGTCATAAACATTAGCATGTGTCTGCTGTTCTTACGTGTGCATCCACTCTCGGTGAAGCTGTAGTATCCACGCTCACAGCGATCACATTTATCACCCGTCACCCCGGTGATGCACTGGCACCGCCCCTCCTCATCACATGACGCAGACAGAGCACCTGATTGGTTACATTCACACAGTCTGCAGCCATTGCCGCTGCTGATGCCGTAATAACCCGTCTGAGACACACACACACAGACACAGAGACACACACAGAGACACACACACAGACACACACACACAGACACACACAGAGACACACACACAC